GGAGTGGGGGTGGGAGGGACTGGGGCTGGGACCAAGCAGGGATCAAGAGACAGTGGAGCCAAGCTGGGCCCAGGATCAGGATTGGGGCTGGGGCTGGGGCCCACGGCACCCGTGTGGCCCCCCTTTCCTCTGTGCCCAGGGTCGTTGCCCAGTGCCGGTGCCCCCTGCACCAATGAATCCACTGCATCTCAGTCCTGCACTGGCTCTGGCCCTGCACTGCCCAGGGGACCCTGGAGCCGGGGGCTGGAGTGGGGCCAGGCTCAGCTGTGTTGCTGGGCCAAAGGCAATGGAGCCCCCAGGACCCCTGCACCTGCCCTGCATCGGGGCAAGGTGTGGGATGAAGCTGTGGCTCATCTGGGGGGCGTGGGGAGGGGGTGGCAGCTCCCGCCACTGCACACGTCACATCCCAGGGGGCATCAGGGGCGTGTTCCCCTGGAACCGTGCAAAGCCAGGGCAGGCTGCTGCTGTTGCCTGGGGCCGGGGCAGCGCTGGACTCTTCCTGTCGGCAGGGCTGGGCTGAGTTCAGGGTGGGTGGCAGTGGCGGTGGCTCTGGGAGGGGGGTCGGGTGGGTTACAGCAAACTTTGGGGTGGCTGCAACCCCTCCCCCCATAGCCTCCTCCCAGTGCTGCAGCCCACAGCAGTAGCATGCCCTATCCTGTGCAGATGCAGGGACATGCACCTCCCGTGCCTCCTGGGGTGTAGTAGCAGAAGCTATGCCCCTAGATGAGCCACTCATGGCTCAATCCTGCGCCCTACCGGCTGTGCAGCGCCTGCCCCTCCCCTAGCACCAACCCCACTCCCTCCTCACCCCTGCTGCAGCCACCAGAAGTACTCAGCCAAGCTGCCTTGCAGCCCTACCTCTGCCCTGTGTTTGCGGGGGGCTAAGCCCTGTTAGCCCCCTCACCCCCCCGCTTTCACCGCCTATGGTCTCAGAGGAAGGGCAGCTGTCTGGATAAGTAGAGGAGAGCTCACAAGAGGAGTGAGAAAAAAATACCTTCAAGGAGAGATGTGACAGGGAGCAGCTCAGGGATTCAGCACCTGATGAAAAACTAATTTTGGCTGTCTTATATGGAGTCCCTGGGCTTGCTTCCCTGCCAGCCTCCATTGTGGGGGTCACTAAAAATCTGGAGACTGTTGACTATTACTTGAGAAGGGACAGGCTGATAGAGACCAAGCTGGATGGGAAAACAAAATTTCTCAGACAGGGTGTAGAAAAAACAACTGAGTCTGGTTTGCTGCAACTCCTACATGACTAAGGGTAGGCAAAGGTGGTCATCTGGGCTAGGTACAGAAGTTACATGTAAACTGCTTTAAGTCATCAGAGATTGGTTTAAACCTGTAACAAAACAAAAGCTCAGTGCACATAAACCAGTTTTCAGAATAGCTGAAACTGGTTTAAGATAAATCTGGTTGAATGTAGTATCAGACTTAAATGATTTGGGTCAAACTGGTTTATGAAACTTCTGTCCCAGACCCTTTCCTTGTTCAAGTTAAATCAGAGTCCCCCAGCATCCCACCATGCTTTCCAGCCCTAGACTGGGCTGTGCTTTCTGCTCCAGAGGGCAGGGCCAGCCCACTCCTCTGCTCCCTAGCTGGAGCAGTGAGGGCTGGCTGACAAGGGGTTGCGGGGGGAAGCCTGGCTGGGGATGCAGCCCAGTCTACAGCTGGCGTCTGGGGCCAGGGATGAGCGTTAAACACCTCTTCCCCTGCTCAAACTTTGTGTTGGCTGCAACTGTGGACTACAAATCCCAGAAGCACCTGGAAGCAGGAAGAGGAAGTGATGAGCAACTCTGCAGAGTCCTGCTGTTGTGATTCTGGACTGCAAATCCCAGAGACATTGGGGGCAGCAGGAAGAGGAAGTGAACACACAGCCAGCGAGCCCTACGCTAGCACCGCCTGGCTTCTGGCCTGAACTACTGCAAGCATGTGACTGCTTTTCCTGAATCAAAGGTAACTATCCAGTCATTTCTGTTTCAGTTTAATCTCTACAGTTTAGACTAACCTGCAAAGACTGAATCGATACAGCCTTGGGCTTTCTGATCATCTGTACTTTAGCCTTATAGTGCAATCTGAGGGGTTAAGCAACCTGATTTTGTGGCCTCTGGGTGGTATTGCACTGGGAAATCTGGGAGGATGGCCCGAATAATATTGTCATAAATCTTCTGCACACAGCCAGCTATAATCACTGTAGTTTGGACCCAATCCAGATTATCCACTCCTCCTCAAAAGGAACAAATACCAAATTTAATGTGTGGCTGAAAGAGAGAGGTGGCAGTCGAAAGCACCCTGGCACAGAAGCTCTAGTCCATCCTACATGTCTTTGCCTCTGGCCAGCTTCGAGCTTTGACCTGTTCCAAGCTCACACTGAAAGTATTGATCTTCTGGGAGATGGGCTCACGTGAGCAGATGGAAAAGCTTGCAGAGAGGAGGCCCATCCGGATGCAGGTATCTGTGTCGTACCCAGCTAGCAGGCCAGAGATTATTCCTCCGATTAAACTGTGAAGAGAAAGGAAGGGCTGTTTTGGCAATCCCACGGAAATTGCAGAGGCAAATTAATAATTCTCTAAGCCATGTAAACAGGAGCTGGGAGGGGGAGATTTAATTCTATAAAGAGTGGGGCTTTCTCTTCTCCTGGTTTTTCATCACTTGAAAAAGTTAGAGGAAAAACTACTGTTTCAATCAGAGAAGTCTGGAATGGGAAAAAGTTCTGCTTTCTCATACTACTTTTTTTTGGTATCCTTTCATGTTTTTCTAGATGGGAAAAAAAAAGTGAGGTTCTTCCGCTCCAACCCTTCACTTTGTCATGTACTTCCCCCTACCCCCACTCTTCCCTGTTGGGCAAAAAGCTAAAAATGTAGAAAATGGGTTTCTTCCCTCTGTGCTTTACCTTTTCCACCCCCTTTTTCAATGAAAATATTTAATGTGAGGGGAAAGGAAAATGGAAAGAAAGAACCTGTTACAAATCAAAAGTGGAAATGAAAACTTAAATTTAAGCAAAAAGCTTTAAAAAATGTGATTCACTTCATTTTGAAATTTCCCACCAAAAACAAAACACTGAAAATATTTGGAACAAAAGAAGGGCTTTGTTCTATTTCTTTTTATTTGAGAAAAAGAATACTTTTTTTTTCTTCTAACCAGGTCTGTCATAGGTTCTCATTGATAAACCAAGTATTACAGCAGAAAAGTGCCATTCATGTTGTCATGAGCATGTCACTTCTAACTTTGAGGGGGGAGGCAAAGAAAGGAGAGGAGGAAAGAGAGAGAGCCTTGTGATTAAAGCAGTACATGAGAACTCGGGAGACTGGGGTTCGTGACCTGCCTCTACAACACAGGTCTCATATGCAGCACCGTACTTAGACTCCTGGTGCCCCAGGGAAACTTTTAGTGTCGGCCTCCCCTTCGCCAGAGATGTTGATGATAATAAACAAAAAATTACCATTTTCGGGCCCCCTTTCTGTCCAGGCCCCAGGTGGCTGCCCAGTTCACTCATGCTAGAGTCCAACCCTACTCATATGACTGTGAGCAGGTTACTACATCTCTCTGTGCCTCAGTTCCTATCTACAAAAGAGGGATAGTACTTCACTAGCTTACCTCTGCATTAGGTAGATAAATGGGTTTATGATTTTTTGAGGCAGTAGTAAATGATGATGATGATGAAAGTCATCTTTTCAGACTGCAAGGCACACTTGTTTTTCCCAAGATGTTTGAAAATGGAGGTGGGGAATAATTAAAATGAGAGTAGGGAGCTGGGAGTTGGAGGGAATGATTTTAATTTGCCTGAGTTGCCAGTGGCTCATTCTGGTGACTTCAACTTCAGCAGGGAGGAAATCTGTCATGATGTCCATCCACAACATCTAGAGCAGGGGTTCTCAAACTGCGGTCCACAGACCACCACTGGTCCGCGAGCTCCATTCAGGGGGTCGGCAGAAAGGTTGTGGAACAATCGAGAAGATCTGTACTTGTAAGGTAAGACTACTGATATTAAAATATGAGTTGTGTGCTTTGATTTGTAGAACAAAAAAAAAGTTTATGAAGTGGCCAGCTGAGACCCTCAGCAATTTTAAATTTTTCAATTAAAAAAAAACTTGGGAACCATGTCTATAGAACATACAGCGAGGGGCCTGAAAAGTCTACCTAGGCTCAACAGTAACAGGACAGTGACAAAGATCATAGGAGAAAAAAGTGAGAGTGAGACAAAGGTACAGAGTGAGGCGGGCCAATCGGGAGTTGCATGTCCTGTGATGATGACACGGGTGTTTACAGAAAGTCAAGAGCTAGCGCGCACATTGTTGAAAGTACTTTAGTCAAAGTAGCCACGCAACCTATCAGAGAAGGGGCTTCTCTGATGGTCCCTGAGGCAGAGCACCCAGGCTGTCCCGTGCATAAGGACCCGCACAGGGTCTCTAAGTGTGAAGAGCCCAAGCTTGTTTGGTCCCTGAGGGTCCTCTCTCCCTAATAAAGGTGGCGTTACAGCACAGGAGGGCATCATCTAGCCTGCAGATTGCCCCTGCTCTGTGCAGGCAAGTGCTCAATTTAGCAGTGATGGGCAAAGGGGACCTTCTTGTCAGGATTAAAATAGCCTTCTGATCTGGCAAACAGAGGCTCCAGGTGCTTCTCATTACACTGCAGTGGGTGGGGAGGGAAATTTTCCATGTCATACTCAGGCTAATTACCTGTTTGTTTCTATCTAACAAAAGCAGGGAGACTTGTGGGCTGTGATCACTGTTCAATCTTTCAGCAGCTCCTGAGGCTTGGAATAAATAATGTGGGGGAATCTTTCCTTAACAATGCCATGTACAGACATGTACTGTTATGCTATCACAGAAACCAGGGAGCAAACAGTTGCCACAGCCCTACCAAGCAGCCAGCTAGCTGGACAGCACCTCAACCAGGGTGCCCTGGGGTACCTAGAGATCCATTCAAGGGTGCTGTGGGTTGTCGCACAACATTAGCACTGTTAGGTGTGCAAATATGATTCACCAGGTAAGATTACACTTTTCACATATGAATCTGTAGTATTAAAATAATTCTGCCCATATGGTCTTTCTGAGTTCTTTGCAACAGAAGAATTGCTCTACCATCTTTCTTCAGTCAAAAAAAAAAGAGTCAAAACTAAGAGCTGGCATTTCCCAAGGGGTGCCTCAAGTCCAAAAATGTCTCAACCACTGATTGAGAATCTTAAATCGATATAAGAAGGAAGAGAAAATAACACGACAAAAATTAGACTGTTCATAATGATAGCACTGAGCAGTGTGGTCTGACCTGTGGGGTACTGGGGCTGAGGTAGAAATGATCCAGGGAGGGGCAATGCCATTGTTTAGAGCAGGGGTCCTCAACTTTTTTTCATTAATGAGCACTGTGATGACTCAGCCTTTTTCATGGAGCATTAAAAGAAAATCAAATAGCTATAATGATCATCTTCAATTATGCCTTTCAATGTGATTCTTGACAAGACTGCAAGTGCTTTTGAGCACTGTTGTTGGACTTGTTGGAGAGCACTTTATAAAATCACAAGAGCACTATGGTGCTTGCGAGCACCGGGCTGAGAATGCCTGGTTTAGAGAGGGTAGGAGGATGAGCATATGAGGACTCACTAGAAACACAAGGGTTATTTACCGCAGAATAATAGGAGATGGGGCTTTGCCGTGTGTCAGCTGCTTGCATGCATTCTCTATGTCTCATAGTAAGTAAAAGCTAAATGAGGATACTCGTCCCTCTTTCATTGAGGGCTAAGCTGTTTAGCTTCTATTTATTATGAAGCAAGAGCATACACATGGGCAGTTACTGCAGAGCAGCTGATGTACCGCAAAGCCCTTCTTTTATCCCAGGTTCTTCGTACATCTATCTGTGTTCTTAGTCTAGACAAAAGAAGTTACTGGAATAATTAAGGTTTGCAAAAAAAATCCAATAGCTTTCCCTGCTGTCTGCCAGGGTGAAAAAATGGCAGGCTTAGCACCTGGTCAAATATGTGGCAAATGAAGGTAGAAAACTAAAGGGGAAACCTTTTGTACTTGCAGTATCTGCACAGATCATGGCAGCATGAAGTCAGAGTCAATTACTACAGCTTAGGAATCAAGAGCTGGATAATTATGACTGCATGACGTGCATACACAAGTTAAGAGGAGAATAATAAGAGCTTATTCTTAAAGGATGTAAGGCAATAAGTAAAAATTGTCTCTTCCTATCCCTTTGTACAACAGTGCATGAATACATAGGTAAGTTATGGCAAGGACTCTTCAGGAACACAGGATTTTGACCACAGCCAGCAGCACAATTCTAGGTGTGATTGCTCCTGTGAGGCAATTCCTTTGCTTGTGGCAGCCTATCCTGGCACTGGCAAACCCTGCTGTTAGCAAAAGCCACAGTGAAGGCCAAACCCCACTTCCAGTTGAGAGAGACTGACTCAGCTTTGATTTAAGGTAGCTGACTTTGCTTTTACTAGTGCTGTGGTACTTTGGCCAGCTGCCATCTTGAAAACATCTGTCAGCCCAAACCATTGCATCCTAGATATGCTACCAAACTCTGGGATGTTGTGATATAGCTTCATGCCTATTCCATGAAAATAAGTGGCCAAACTAGCTTCAAAATGCTTAGGGGAAATATTGGAGCACAGTCTGTCCATCGTCTCCCCACCCCCCCAGCATTCACCTCTCCTTTGTCTTATGGTTTTAGTACCTAATTTCCAAACCTGAGAGTGAACTTTATCTTGACAGTAGTATTAAAGAATTGTAGAGTGGAATTCAGGTGGAGGGAAAAAGGGGCTGCCACAGGTGTATCTCCTCTCTGGTTCATTAGCAATATACCTGTCACCTGCTCCTGAGACATTCACAATCTCCTCCCCGGAGACAGGGACTGCTGGGTAGTGTGCAGCACACAGCTGGCCTGCAGCATTCTGCAGAAAAAGAGAGAAGATGGGGCATTACTGGAAGTCTGCTCAGGTCAAGAGGCAACATGTGACTTGGCTGATCACATACAAAGCTGCACCACTACTTAAAAGTCCAAATAATGTGTTATGTGTGTATCAAGTCAAATTCTTTTTGGCTGTGCTTTATAGTTTCATAGTTGGTAGGGTCAGAAGGGACCTGAGCAGATCATCAAGTCCAACCCCCTGCCATGGCAGGAAAGAGTACTGGGGTCAAACGACCACGGCAAGGTGTTCATCCAGCCTCCTTTTGAAGACCCCCAGGGTAGGAGCCAGCACCACTTCACTTGGAAGTTGGTTCCAGATCCTAGCCGCCCTGACCGTGAAGTAGCGCCTCCTGATGTTAAATCTGAATCTACCCTCTGCCAGCTTGTGACCATTATTTCTAGTCCCTCCTGGTGGTGCTCGGGGGAACAGGGACTCCCCCAATGCCTGCTGGTCCCCTCTGACTAGTTTATAACAGGCCACTAGATCCCCCCTCAGCCTTCTCTTGTGGAGGCTGAACAGGTTCAGGTCCCGTAGCCTTTCCTCATAGGGCCTGCCCTGCTGTCCCCTGATCATGTGAACGGCCCTCCTCTGGACCCTCTCCATGCTGTCCACATCCCTCCTGAAGTGCAATGCCCAGAACTGGACGCAGTACTCCAGCTGTGTCCTGACCAGTGCCGCATAGAGGGGGAGGATCACCTCCTTGGACCTGCTTAAGATGCATCTGTGGATGCATGACAAGGTGTGGTTGGCCTTCCTGACTGCATCCCCACACTGCTGACCCATGTTCATCTTGGCTTCAATACTGAATCCAGGATCCTTTTCTGCCTCTGCACTGATGAGAAGGGAGTTCCCCAGCCTGTAGGTATGGTGCTGGTTCTTCCTCCCCAGGTGCATCACCTTGCACTTGTCAGTGTTGAAACCCATCCTGTTCTTATCTGCCCACCTCTGTAACCCGTCTAGGTCCGATTGCAGCCTATCCTTCTAGCATGCCCACTTCTCCGCACATCTTAGTGTCATCTGTGAATTTGAACAGGGTGCTATTTACCCCCCTTTAACCTGTGTGAAATACATTTTCCCCATGCATTTGTCCACTCAAGTTTTATTATGATATATTCATGGGGGGTGGAGGGGGAGTTGTTAATCTTACACTCTCAAATGCCCAGGAAAGCACAGTTTAAAACTGCTTTTTGTCACTATTCTGCAGAGAAGGTCCCAATGTATAAGGATGGAAGGCTGTTTCCCTTGCTAACCCTCCAAGCCTTCCCATCTCTCAAGGACCGATAAACTGATAGCAAAGCTTCACCAGGTTTCAATGCCACTTGGATGACTCAAACACAAAGGACGTTTCTTCAAAAAAAAATGTGTTCCAAGCCAAATTGAGTCCTAATCTGTGAGGGAGTCCAGAACCGTAAGTGGCCCTACAACCAGCAAACATCCTCCACCCCCACCAGGAGTTTCAGATATTTCCAAAGTCTTTTGGCAGGCATCCTATGTGCAGGCCCAAGCCTGGAGGCTTGGGGTTTGGATGCCCCCAAGTTTCACCTGCCTTCAGCCATAGGGCTGCAGAAGCAAGCTAGGAAGGAGCCTCCCGTTTCCATAAAGTGGGCTTTAAGCCCCAAGACCCCAGTGGGTACTAAACCACAACAGAAGAATAGTTATCCCCAGGAACACTTAAAGAAAACTGCCTTCATGGACCCAGATACACGGGGTTTCCCCTGCCAGACACAAAGGCCTGATTACTAATCCATTGCCACTCGTGTGCCCCTACCTGCGTGTGTGGTCCAGGGTGAAGAGACACACTCCCTCCCATGCTCCTGCCGCACAGTAACACTCCGTGAGGCCCAAGTGTTACCACCACGCAGCACAGCTGTGTCAGCAAGGGGCAGGCCAAGGTCATCGCAGTCCTGACAACGTCTTCCAGCCTTGATGGCAGGTCTTTAGACAGCAAGGGTGTGGGGGAGGGAAGCCATTATGAACTGCAAGCATCAGACCACAAAACTTCTGACTTGAGCTTTCCATTGATGTGGAGCTGCTTGTACTTTGCATTACTGACTGCAATCCTTCCCCCTCCCTACTGTTGCAATCATAGCCCTCCTTATTGTCTGTCCACTGTGAAGCAAGGAAATGCCTCTTACAGGATTATACCCTGGGACAAAATGTTGGAGTCATAAAGCATGATATGTGCCTTGATGTCAGTTTATCAGTGCCAGCTCATGGTCTGTGAAGGAAGCAGCATGAATATATGTTCCATCAGAGTGTGGTACTCTTGCAATAAACTGGTAATTCTGTTTAGTTGGCTGAGCAAAGTCATGAAAACAGGGACTCCCGTTTTGGGACTGGTGGGAGTCCATCTGATGCATGAGTCTGTCTTGTGTTTCATGTGAATGAGCTTTGTGGGGTACAGGCAGATTTTGAGGTGGGCTACACCAAAATCATTCATAAATTCTCACCACATTTTAACCTGTCTCACCCAAGGTGAAAGGCTTATTAGGTAGCCAGTAATAGCTGTTTCAAGATACTTGTTTTAAAAAAATAAAGATGCTCAAATGATAACAGGGAAAGATCTGCGCATGGTTTCTCAGAGCACACATGATGGTTACAAGCTCCTCCTCCTTTGGATGAGCTATAACTTCTATGTGAGTTCACTGCAGTCCTGACTAGCACTGGCCTTCCCTGGTATTTGGGAAGCTACCATCAATACTTTTGTAATCAAAGTGAATTATTCTGGTGTCTCCAGGACAGACTGATAGTGTTGCAGCTTGGGAAAGTGCTGGTTAAGCCTAAGCAGTACACAGACGATTTGCAGTGGAGCTTCTCTTGGCGCATCCACATGAGCACGCATGTGCATTTCCCAGAGTAAAAATAGCAGTGGCACACTATGTGCCGCTGTTACTTCTCCCTGGAAACACCCATGCATGTGTACTCTGGCACGCTCTGGCATATAACAAGTTGTCCCAGGTTGGGTAGGGGAGGCTGGCCCCAGCAGCCTTATCTGGGGTCAGGCTCCAGTGGTGGGAACCTGGCAGCAGGAAGCCTGGTTGGCCATCGGAGCATGGCTCCAGCTGGCCAGGTTCCGCTTTCTGGTGGCACATGCTGCCGCCACACGCACCACTCTGCTTTCTTCCACTGCAGGTTTTCCCATGCTGCAAATCAGCAGCATGGGGAATGCCTACGTGTGTGGTATGTGCAGTGTATGGTGCTGCAGATGAGTCTGCAGTGTTGCATACCACACGTGCAGGCTGGTCTGGACATGCCAGAGAGCCTAGATCATCTGGAAGTTTTTCCCTTGCTGCCCTCTCAGTGTACAGTACCTGCTGGCACAGGGTGTCCAAGGGTCCGGTTTATTGCTCTTAGTTCTCGCAGGTTGGGGGAGATGTAGGCCAGTGCTCTCCAGCTCTCTGAAAGGAACGGCTTAGAGGCCTTGTTCTCATCTGTTGGCTCATAGCACACTTCAAAACGACATTGCAGTTAGTTAACTACTAGAATATACTTCCTCCATCAGAGCAAATAGCTATTTAAAAGACTTACTATGATGTTTACCATGCTGAGGTAGCTACAATTTATCAGCATCTAGACTTATTGTTCATGGCAAGGCAGTCTTAATAATCTACCTTTTTACTGCAACTCTGATTAGATTGTTTCTGGCTCTGGGATGCTATGATAAAAGACATAGTTAGGAAAGTATTTTTAGCTTGAACGTTCCTGCTCATTTGCCAGTTTGTCTACTGTTTTGAGGGTTTATGCTGAGTCCTGAGAATTATACCTCCCTCTTCCCCTTCAGAGTTTGCTTTTGAAGAAGCTAGGTGGAAAGTCTGAGGTGTGAAGAAGCATTATGAAAAGTCTTCAACAAAACAAGAGGGATTGAAGTATTTCATGTGAAGCAGTGAACAAATCCTTTAAAAATATAAGGTAGTGCTTATTGTTTCAATAAATGCTCCAGTATTCAAAGCACAGGAGGAATTACAGGCACAGACAAAGCAGCAGCTCCCTGTTGTAACTCATGGCACTTCGCAGGAAGCGCCCTGGGTTACAACGATCCCCTGGACCCATTAGAAGTTCACTGTAGGGTCCCACGGGTTGGAGAATTCAGCTTCTGGCTGCGAGCCTGTAGCTGGTCTCCCCTACCAATGCCCCTCCCCCCTCTCAGAGCCAGCACTGTTTTCAGAAAGGGAGGGGGCTCTTTCTGGGGGTTCTCCAGCCCATGCTGGAGGGTGGGGTGGGTGGATTGGACCCCCACCCTCCAGTGCTGGCTGAAAAAAAACCGATATCAAACTCCCTCTGCTCCCTTTCCCCCCTCCCATTCTGAAAACAGCACCAGGGTTGGGAGGCAGTGCAGACACAAGTTACTGAAGCCACTCCATTTTGGAGCATCCTCATCTGAACCTTCATGCAATGAGGGTTCAGATTTTCATGGGATCAGGTCTTTTTAAAGTGCTCGGCAGCTGTGCACTTCTGTTTGGTCATGGCTGTAGAGCATTTCCAGGGGCTAGATCAGGCAAAAATTGTCACTTCTGTCTTCACCTTAAGTGCCCATATTGGTTCTTTACTCTCACCCCTCCTGACTTTCAGTGGGCACTAGAGGATATAGATATTACCCACACAAAAATCAGATCTGGTGTAAGATATAAGACAGAATAAACTAGGAATAAATTAAAACATAAGGAAAAAAGAGGGGGAAGAACTAACCCAAGTCATAAGATAGTGTGCTTTTGAAATAAGGAAGAATTGAAGGCACTCTACATGTTACACAGCATGTCTCAGCACACATGTTGTTATGCCCAAAGGGACCTACTGTTAGTGATTTTTCCCTTACCTGGTACCTTGTGCTCTCTGGCAATCTGACAGACGTACTGGATTGTGGCAATTGGCACGTTTCCATCAATACATACTACCGGGGCCATGCACAGATGCTGCTTGAACCTGGATACCTAGCAAAGTGCAGAGCACAGTTAGAACAGAAGCAGCTGGATCCATTGCCCTGTGAATGGGTTAGAATGCAGTCTGTCTACCTGCCACACTCTTCTGATCAGACTCAGGTACTGCGATGTAGATGAACCATCAATGTTGGCTCTAGCCCTTAGATTTAGGCTTGCAAACCAGCAGCAACTTTTGCTAGGGCAAGTAAGCCTTTCAGGTTCTCTCAGTTTTCCCTTTTATTTATAACCCTCCACTTTCCCATCAGGCTAGCTTGTCCTTCGCACACAGGTAGGTTGCTGTTGACTCCCTTTCAAGCTCAATATTGCTGCTTATTGATTAGCTGGAGGGCCTAGGGAATAAAATGAAATGCCTCCACACCTTAATGATTTAGTGGGACTAGGGAGCAACGGCCAAAGACCCAGCTTCACCAAGGGAATTAGTTGAGGTGACTTTTTTAACATTGCTGTAGTATAATTTTGGGGATCCAGCTCCTTCAGCAGAATCCATGATGCCAAGTGAGGTACTGAATTTCCCTCTCTGGTAAATGAAGAGAATTAGGCACTTCCCAATAGTCAAGATGCTGAGTGAGGGAGAGAAAGGGTGTGTACCTAAGCTGGACAATAAAGCATGCTGAAGAGATGCGTGTGTCAAAAATCCCACCTCTCTCTGGGTCTTTGCCTATCTGCAACCCTGAGTTAGACACCTACATGGAACTGGTATTCACCACCTGGACTGGACACCCCTCTAGACTATAGTATATGAAAGATTGGCACTGCTGTGACTTCTTTTGAATAGAAGTGACTAATAGGCTTAGTTTTAACAAATGTTTTTGGTCTGAATTCAGCACAGTATCTGTTATTCCTCTCTCTGAACCCTTTTGAGGATGGTCAATATAGAAGATATGAGCCCAGTGCCAACACAGGAAGGATCTGGGTTACAAGAGAACCTAGGGGATACAGCTGTCAGGCAAACATTCAAATGTATTCCTGTGTATATATAAAACCTGAGATGAATATCAGAAGAGAATTGGTTAGTTCAACATACCTAGAAAGAGTAGCTAGGAAAAAAAATTACTTCCAAGGCCCTAGAGAAGTCACCAAAAACAGACCTGCAGTGGCCCTAAGCAACTGTGTTGTGCCATCATCAATGAGTTTCTGGGTGTTTCTGTCTTAACAGAATGGCCAAAACTTTCAGAATTGTGCTGCCTGAAGTCTCATTTAGGCAATAGGAGACTTTATGTGGCCAGAACTTTGAAAAAACTGGACAACTCTTCAGGGGGCCTAACTATGGTCATCAGGAGCCTAATTTATGGACCTATTGGTAAGTGTATGCCTGGATGTTCAAATTACTCCTCCTTCCTCTGTTTTTATGCCTGTGCTATTCACAGACTTTCAAACAATCTAATATCTCTGCACATGCCATGATTTGGTCTTCTGATATCCATCCAGGGCCTTCCCAGACTTTTCCCTTAGGTTTTTCCCTTCTTGCAGAGCAGTCATCTTTCCCTCCAATGAAAACTGGAGGAGGCTCACTTCAGGGTCCATTTATGACTATCTGAAGCTATTACTGACATGCAACCAGGCTTTCTTCTGCCAGAGGTTGAAAGTGCTACTTCTATGGTACTACTAAGTCTGTGCATAGAAAGTAAAAGGCAACCCCCCTCCCTTTTTGGTAGCAAAAAGCATAGGACCTATCACTCAGATAAGCAGCTCAAATTTTCCTGTTACCAAAATATTTCTCACAACTCAATATGTCATGTCCACTTTGGCAAAAGCTGCCTACCGCTACCGCCATCCGTGACTACACTCCTAGTCCTGACATGGATGCAGAATTCAGAGACAGCTCAGCAACCAATTTCCAGCCTCATGATGGCTATTCTTAGCTGACATGACATGTTATAGAAATCACTGGCTTGTGTCATTGCTTCTGCCACAGCTTTTTTCCCCATGTCTCTGCTCAATTTCATCAAGAGAAACATCACCAGAGTGTAGCTTTCATCAGGCGAGAAGTTTACTGAGTTTCCACTTGGCCTCTTTCTTGGTTATTTTGCAAAGATCACAAAGATTAATCTATCATTCAATGGTTTAGTTTTCCTTTCATTGTCAAATTGTGGGAAGGGAAAGGGTGGAGATAGAAATGGGAGCAATGACCACTTTTTTCCCCTAAGATTTCTCAGCCCTATGAGGGTCCTCCTAATAAACTAATTGCATTTGCCATCCAAATTACCATCAGTTGGTAAGTGCAGGCTTTGCTTTGTCAACGGTGGAATTAGTGGGGAAAGAGGGTGGGGCTGTGGGGGTTTACATGAATCAAAACTTAATCATCATTTCCATTAATGGCCTGAAACCTTCCCTACCTACCAGGCTGAGAAGCAGAATCAGTTTACACAGCTCAGCATGTAGAAGCAGCGGGTAGAGGGGAGAGGAGGTAATCCTATCCATGCTATTCTGGTTTCAAAGCTGGGAATGTTATCTTCAGGTACCTAAGTGGACATGAAGTCATTGAAAGCTCAAAAGTGATTATGACCAGTGGGTTTAGGCATAGATATCATGGATAGGATTAATGTGGTGGCATTCTATTGGAGGGGGGGTATGTATTCTAGATAACAATAAGCACCTCTGGTTGGCTAGCAGCTTGTTCCAGGGCCATATCAGTAACCCACATCTGAGGCGAACTGTAGGCTTCCACCTGTTGTTCCTAATTTCAGAATGCATGAGCTGTAATGGGCAGCCCTGCCAGGGCTTGATTGGGTCTGTTGGGGTCCATCAGGCTGGTGGCACCTGCACACCTCCTGATCATCTGAGAGCACCCTAATTAAGCCTCCCCTCCCTGCCTGGGACAATGGTCTGCCAGTTGTTCAACAGGCAGAAGTCTAACTGCCCCTACAACTCTGGTTACAAGCCTCAGCTCTTACCATTGGGTGTGACTGCCTATGTCCCAGTAGCATAGCAGTAACCACTCTGAGCATATAATAATGTTATCCAGATTCCCTCAGCCCCCTACACTCACATTCTCACACATACGCACACCTTAAACACTTGCTGCTGTTATGCATCCATGCTTTCTTCTTACAAGTGAGTGATTATAGGTCAGAGGAAATCCTTACATAATGTTCTGTTATCTGCTGGTGGATGTCCATGTCTCCCAAGCCAAGGCTGAGTTCCCCACTCCCTGTCATCACTGCACAGTAGGTAGCTGTGTTGTGCCCCTCCAGCTGAAGAACACCTCCCATGTCCTACAACAGGAAGAGGAGTCACCAGTGGAATAAGTTGCCTTTCTCTGCCATGCTCAGCTGACCTCAGGATTCTCTTCTAGCCATCCCCACATAACAAGTACCGGTTATTTAGTAGCAGTCCACTTTACTGTTCTCTGTTCCACCTCCTCCCTTTCTTTTCTGAGCAATAATCAGAAGAACTCCATTGTACCCAGTGTGCACAGGTACCATGGCAATGGCTGCATAAATAATTTAGTAAATGGGAATGACAGATTTCGTCCCTAGAGTTGCACAGAAGCATCCACACTTGACTTTCTTCTGATGCTCTTTCTAAAAGATGCCTGGATTGTTCCTCAGTGATCAGAAAGACCCATCACACAAATGCAGAATGAAGTTAGTGGACTGAAGAAAACCAAGTAGTCCCCTTCCAGTATTGACAGTTCATGGTTTCTAGTCCAGAAATGCTCTTTGCAATTGCGTTGTGTTTGCTTACAGGACCATATTCACTGTGATGGCACAGATTAGAAAAGTGTAAATTTGGATGAGGGCAGAAAGACTATATGCACGCAGCTATCTATGTATAGATATCTAATTATTGTTACCCCCTTTCAGCTTGAGCAGTTAGTGAAAATATTTGTTTCTGTATGTTGATTCCCTAAGGAAGAGAAATGGGTGATGGAGTCCATTAGTCCTTGGATATGGTACCATTTATTTACAAAGAACAAATATTAAACCTTGTTTTCTTGGCCATGTAGGAATCAAGCAGTAGCAGACAGTTTGTACATAGTGCCAGACCTCTTTCCAGACTTTCCTTTTCCCCAAAGCAAAGCTTTTTTCTCAGGATCATGCCATGAGTTGTTTCTTGCTGTGTCTGAGCCTTTGATATTCTGACTCCAACTCTTCTCTCACTCAAACTCTGACTCTTGAATTTATATGCAGCCCTCATAGTTCAGATTCCTGAGTGGTCTTACATGTGACCTGTTTTGGTTAGTGGCTCCTATCTCTTCACCTAGCCACGAGGAAAAAGGCACACAACTCTTCCCTCATTTAGCCGTAAAGGAATTGGCTTTTATGCCCACTAGCTTCACTGAGGCTTCTCCCAGTGCAAAGTTACCTTCAGCATTCCCATGAGAAGCTGTTTCTGCATGACCTACCATATGACTGGAGTAGCGTAGGATGGACTCTGAATGTTCATCCTTCCCCATAGCTGATATAAAGAAGGGAGTCCTCCCAAGGCGGCTTAAGCAATCTACAAATAGATGGCAGTGGAGCAAAGTTATAATTCCAGTGGAGGACCACATGACTAAACCTGAGTCCCAAGTTTCAGAGGATGACATTTTTGAGTGGCTATAGGAAGGGCCTTTCCTGGGATTCCTGATGCCCTTTGTATTTTTCTCATCATCCATCAGTCCCCCACATCTGGCACCTTATCAGTATGATCCTCTATCGGGTCTCTCTACTGGTGTCCATCACTCTGTCTGGAGTGTGAAAAGGAAAAGTTGATCTGCTAATCTGCTGCCACATGAATCTCTGGCTGTGCAGCTCATTTGGTCTGGGAGTAGAAGGAAATGGTGCAGCGGGCCACTGTGTTTCTTCCCCTGCATCCCAATTGCAAAAATGCACTTTTTGAAATCCCATCTATTTGCTCTGAGGCAAGAGCAGACTTGTATCAGAAAGATGGAAAAAGATTTTTTAAAAGACTTCAGCTCCATGGTTAGATTAGGACTTTTCCTTAAATCCCTCCCCTTCCTCTCTGTCACAAGCAAAAATACAAAATATTTTCTCTGGTACACCAGCAATTCAAATATATTTAATCTGGGCTACAGGGACCTATGGCCTACTCTCAATGGTTGCAGCTCCTTGGTCTGTCCCTCCCACTATTGTCTCCAGGCTTTCTTCCATTTTGCCCTTGTGCATGGGACATCATTCTTGATGGAATATATAATGATCTTACTCTCTACTCTTTCAAATCCCTCTTCAAGGCCCACATCTGCTGTGGTTCCAACAAGTAGCCAACATGCTAATGGTGACTATGCTGTGCAGCAGATCTTGGTAAACTGATCTTTTACTTTGCTGACATTGTGCTATGCACCAGTTAACTTTCTATCTGTAATAGAGGGCCCTTGTTTTCTTTCCCCTGGCTGTGCGCCCCCCTCCCCCTCCTTCCCCTCTATTGTTTGCAGTTCTCACTTGTCATTTAAAATGATGCAAAGCCTTTGGGCAGGGAGGGTGGCCCCATGTGTGTCTAGCCTGATGGGGCCTTGATCCTGATTGGCACTTGCTTAGGTGCTCCTGCAATGTAAATAATATGTAATAATAAACTATGGTTTCCACAAACCCCCAGACAACCACCACTCAGCACCTGCCAGGTTTCTCCCAACACCTCCAAAGGTTCGGCTCACTTTCCCAGTGTTTGTCTGGCCGCCAACCTGCAAAAAGTAAATCAAGAATCACATGAGCTAAAAAAACTGAGTTGCATAGAGGACATTCCTCTGCACATATTTAAAGAAGATACAATTGTGAACGTGTGCGGGACTGACAGCTGTGGAGACTGAAATCCTCTAGCTTTGGGACAGAGAGATGTGCAAGTCTTCCTATCCAACACGTGTGCCTCAGTCCTGGCCAGACAGGACCCCTTCCTTGTGTTACAGAAAAGTTTAGTGTCCTGCATATTTTGGTCTTATTTATGGAGACCACTTAATCAAGATGCTGACCAGAATGTTTTATATAATATGAACAGTTCTCTATGAAGACAGTGACTGAGCTGACCATCTCAAACCAGACTGGAGTCACAGGCCCAGAGGCAAAAGACTCTGTACTTCACTGGCTATCTCCAAGACATCCAGTCCTCCACCAGTTCAGAAAGGTCCTTTCTTTAAGTAATTCCAGTGATTTTGCTAGTGTGATCTCCTGCTTTGTAACATCTGCCTGTGCTGTATTTCCCACTCCCTATTTACAGAAGCACCTGCATTACCTCCTTTCTCTTCCTAAATCCCTCTGTGCTTACTCTACTTCTCCATCTATGTCTGGCTGCAGATTTCTCTGTCCTCCTGCCCGTTCCTTCCAATTTCTCTTTCCATCTGTCTGTCAGTGTCACAAACACAGCCAAATGCTGCCTCGTGGAAGACATTCTGCTTTTCTCCAGTCAGTACATTACCTCACTGGGCTCCTGCTGAGACACAGCGGCTCCAAATCCTCCAGCTAGAAATAGCACAGGCTGCTTGCCTCAAGTCAATTGAGGTTTCATCACTTATTATCAAGTGGTCTTACAGTTCTCAGCTTCGGAACCAGCAAAATATTTTTTCCTACTCTGAAGGAGGCTTCTTTCAATGGCTTTGGTGATGATCATCACTGCTCTGGAAATTCCAGAGTTTTCAAGGAGGAAAGAAATATCTTCAATGAATACATTAAAAGCTTAGGAACCAAGTGCCACAATGTGTGTGTGTCCATACACACCAACTCCTTGCCGTGACACTCACCAAAACACACTCTGCCCCCCATAAACCCTACAAGAGTATGAACACAAAAATGACGCTTGCCCACTCTTGCATATACCCATCCCCACTTGACTGAAAGCCCCTGTGTTCTGGGGTCTGGAGGAAAAAAAATTGAAATGACGTGTGGGCCACAGGTCAACCCAACGCTTTCCAATGGAGGGCTGACCTGGAGTCTGGAGGAGAATTTTTCTAGGTGTGCCTGCCTCTGCACAAAGAGCTGCCCTGAATCCCTGATTTCCAACATACCTGAGCTTTCAGGAATTTGACAACTGGATCCGAGTTTTGTGCCCTTGGTGTACACTAAAACTGTCACTTGAACCCACCAAATGGAACTAACTAGTTAAACAGATGCTCTGCTCCATAACCCAGGCACAATTTAGCAGAAGGCAGAGTATTTAGAATTGAACTGGTCAGTAATATGAATAGTAGCATCACATTATTCTCCTGCTAGCACCCCTCTTGAATGGAAAAGGATTTGAAATCTTCCCCTCCCTCCCTCCAGACTCCTTATCAGATGACAAAGGTCCTGGTCAAAGTGCTACAGTTGAGATGGTGACTCAGTCATCTTGAATGTAATTCACTCAGAGCCTGAGCAGAATAGCAGGGAAGTGGAAGGGATGGAAAACAATGGGGAAGAGAAGGAGGCCAGTTCACTGATGGAAGAGGAAAAGGCAAACATAGGATGAGAAGCAGCAATGGAGAGAAACATCATACAGGGAAAGTAAATTTCCTGCCTCAGTGGAAGTTTATTCACATGCAATCCCTTTCTCTAATCACTGTTACTTTTTCCACTCGTTTACTGTCTGTGTGTATGAAGATAAATAAGAGGATAATAATGCTTCCCTCTCATTTTTCCTTGACTGCAGTAAAGTAGTTATAACCTCATTGCACCAGCTTCATCAGCTGAAATTGTTCAGACTAATTTCAGTCCTTAAGTAGAATGGAAAGGAAGTCACTAGACAACAGATCAATGCCTCCTGCTTTTCTTGGTAGTTAGCCTGCCACCAGCCTGTTCCAGCATAATATTGGCTGGGATACCCTACCTGGGTCCCTCCATAGTTAGTCTGTGTGCTCCTAAGTTTCCCATGCTCTGAGTACAATCCAACACACTCCTTTTCTTTGGCCCCGCTGTCAGACTTCCAGTGCCTGGGTTATCTGTCTGTCAGCCTGTGACAGGAGTATCACTATCAGAGCCTTTCCGGGGTGGCTCCGCCCTCCTGTAATGGGCCAACCGCCTGCTTACTCGCCTGCCACGCCTTGATCTTACTTGATTAGAAGATGGTTGTCATCAGTGGGAGGCTGCCCATTTTTCTGCGCCCCAGTGACAGGGGGCGCTACCTGCAGCTCCTTTTCCGCCCCTACACCGCAGCCCAAGCCTCGCAGATGGAGTTGATGTGGTTTGACCTGGGCCCTGTTATGTTCTGGCCCTCCTCTTCTCTGGGGCTCCTCGCGGCCCCCCTCTCTCTCGGGACCCCTCGCTGCCCCCTTTCCCTCTCTTGGGGCTCCTCGCTGCCCCCTCTCTCTTGCTCTGGGGCTTCTCTCGTGCTCGCCCCCTCCCTGGGGCTCCGCCAGCACTAGGGCCTTTCTCCACGCTTGGGCTAAAGTGGTCGTAGCTGTGCCTGGCCCCCACAATGCACTGTGCTCCTCCTTAGGGCTGGGGCAGTGTACCCCTAAAAATGCGGTGCCCTCACTGGCATAAAATGCAGTGCCCTCACTGGCACCGGGGTCCCCACCACTGTGGAGCCCCTCTGAGGCCTCCTCCAACCCCTACAGCCTCACCCAGTCCTCCGGTCAAAACAGTAAACATAAAACAAAAAGCCCCTGGGCTACAACATAAAAACTAGACCATCTGGTCAAACAAAATCTACTCCTTACTAGAGAGTGAGGGAGTGGGGGGGAGGGGGAAGGAGGGCTCCCCAATCCCAGCAGTGATCGGGGAATACTCTCACTGCCAGAGTCCTCCCCTCTGTCTGTCTGAGCTGAGTCCCTACTCCCACGGCTGCTAGAGAGGGACTGCCCTCCTGGCCTCCTACCTGGGCTTAAGAAGGGATAAGCCCTGCCCCTTCCTGTCAGCTGGTTTTACCAGTTGCCCCAGCAACCAGCACCTGTGCAGCCCTGGTGACTGGCAGCTGAGCCTCCCCCTTTCTGCCACTAGGGGTCTCCCCAGAGCAGTCTCCGCTCTCAGGCGCAGGGCACCTGAGTGCACTGCGACACAGCCCTTCACAGAAACGGTACCTAGAAGCATTGCTACTCTAGCCCTCCCGCAGGGCCAGTGCTGGCTTTTGCAGACTCCTTTGTTGCTCAGGCACACCATTTCCCAGAGACCCAGCCTCATGAGCACTCTGGTTTACAATTCATCTCTTCAGGAGCACACAATAATTGAAGCATATAGCTCTTTACTTTAGCTGGAACAATAAAGACACAAGTGAGACAAAAGAATAAAATATCTCTACACATTTCCCTGCCTTGGTTTTCTCCCCACTCTTGGATACTCTTTGGAGATAGGGCAGAGTTCTCGGAGATTGGCAAGATACACCCCCCCACACACACTAAATCACAGACAGGAACAGAATATCTTGTTCTATCCACACTGCTTCACCAGATTACAGATTTGTAATCATTCAAGCAGCTGACCTTACAATACAACCACAGCGCAAAGCACAGGCTCCTACCCCACAAGCTCAAGATGTAATTCCATTGCCTGAGAGAAATAGTCTTTTATCCTTTAGACAAGTACAAGCCTATTACTGTTACTGACTAATGGAAATATAACAACTCGGAGAGGATTAGTAAAGTCATCCTTGATGTGAACCAGATACTTAAGAGAGAGAAAACATAGCCAGTACATGATACTTAATACACATCCAATTTTCCATGTTCTGGGAAATACTTCCCAAAACAGAATATATAACATGATAGACAGTTTCCCAATACAGAACACTATCCATGCAAAATAGCTGCAACAGTTGTCAAGAAATGAACTGTCGTGCTATAGCTCAAAAAGGGTATCTAACAATTAAGGTGGGGCTAGGCAGTACATATGGTAAGATGGGCTTTAGCTGCTGAACTACTCACATATAAAATAAGGACAAATGACAAACATATCATCTGAACCGCAAATTAAAATACCACTAAAGCACAGTTCCAAACTTATTCTGCTGAATAATTCCACAAAATAATTCCACAGAGATCAGGGCCCATACTACTATAGTCTAGGCAGGACAGACAAAGAGCAGGAAGAAAGAATTATTATTATCCCCATTTTACCGACTGGAAAATGGGAGACAGGAGGGTAAGTCTGTAGCAGACTCACGAACAGAACACACATTTGCCCTTTGTTAGAGGGGGGCAAATCCTGAACCGGATTCCACCATTTTTAAACTTGTCTGTGTGTGCCGAACTTCTGTTCTGTTATGGGTATAAACCAGTTTCTGATCACTTATACTGGTAAAAGTGTAATGTCTGTACCTGGCCTCAAGGTATTGGACCAGATGTCCTGAATTCCAATCCCAGGTCTTAAGCACAAGATCACCTTTCCTCCTGGAGTACTTGGTCACCTGACTCTCTATCTGCTACTAGCTTACCTCTTAAATCTCTAGGGTACTATGCACACTAGAATCTGGAAAATAAGCTAGTAGCTATAAATTGTTACTATTCTGCATTACTACATGTTACTACTTTCATTTGTTTATTTACCCATAGAGTTTGTGAATCCACTTATAGTACTGTCTTGTAATTCACTTATAGTACCATCTTGTAACACACAAATATTCAGTTATTTAAAAAGGAAGACAGAAAATGTTGCCTTTTCCACATCATTTACCTAGCAACAGATACTCATTTTGCCCGTGGCAATGACCACCCCCAGACAACATTCTGATCCGTTCGTGCTTTTACATCTTTGGCTCTTTTTTTTTACCACATTTTATTTA